CGTGCTAGTAATTTTCTAAATCCTTTGATTCAGGGCCGGGCATGGCCTACTGGTTAGTATACTGGGCTATATATTCGAAGATTTGTGTTGCGTCGCCGCAAAATCTTACTTCTCATCTTGGAGCTGTCGATGCGTTATAAGAGTGAGTGTCAAATTCCGCTATTCGATTAGAACAGCCTAAGAGGTGGTGGTGTGTGTGCTTTTGACTAGCTGCCTTTCATCTTGTACTTCCGTTCAAAATTAGGAACGACTCGTGCAGATGGCGCTTTTTTTAGATTTGCGCGGATTTCCGAAACGAACAAACAAACAGGCAAAAGGATATAGGAAATAAGTGTTTTCCTCTGCTTCGGAACAAAACAATATTTACTACAAAATAAAAGTCCGATGCTACTACCAGTTCTACTGACGCTAGTGGAGTTAACTTCGCAGCTTCCAGTAGTATCATTAATTGAATTAACTTCTGTTACTTTACCTGTAAATCCTAACTCATTTTTAAAAACGTAACTAAAATAATATTTAAGCATTTTGTTTCTTATATTAATGTCCCCCAGCGATAAGTCTGTAGACTTGCGACGCTAAAAATCAGCTTTTGACATCCGTATTGGGCCGAACACAAATAGCCAATTGTGAAGCTTTGTATTTAATAACATCAAAATCGAAATTATATATATATATATTCATATTTCTCAATATAAAAATATATACGTATTATCACGTGATTTTACTATACTGACGGAAAGGTAGCTGCCAGTAAATATTTTACTTTGGAAAAATAAACAGGAGAAGAAGCTGAAACAAACTTCAGAAATGTGTATGAAAGAATTAAAACATCACGGACATAAAGATCAACAAACGTAGCTTTGGATGTTATGGAATTCTTGTGGATATGTATGCGAGATACAAGATGGACAAAAATTAATAGAACTTTAAGAATGATACTGACCAGTTCAAAAATATAACACTGACCAGTTCAAAGAATGATACTGACCAGTTCAAAAATATAACACTGACCAGTTCAAAGAATGATACTGACCAGTTCAAAAATAATACTGACCAGTTCAAAAATATAACACTGACCAGTTCAAAGAATGATACTGACCAGTTCAAAAATAATACTGACCAGTTCAAAGAATGATACTCACCAGTTCAAAAATTAATACTGACCAGTTCAAAGAATAATACTGACCAGTTCAAAAAATAATACTGACCAGTTCAAAAAGTAATACTGACCAGTTCAAAGAACAATACTGACCAGTTCAAAAAATAATACTGACCAGTTCAAAAATGTAATACTGACCAGTTCAAAGAACAATACTGACCAGTTCAAAAAAAATTTAGAAACTGTTTCTTTCGCCGATCCTGTAGTGATTGAAAAACAACAACATTACGTTCATTAAATCAGTCTTATTACTTCTGCTACTCAAACATTACGTTCATTAAATCAGTCTTATTACTTCTGCTACTCAAACATTACGTTCATTAAATCAGTCTTATTACTTCTGCTACTCAAACATTAGGTTCATTAAATCAGAGCCTTATTACTTCTGCTACTCAAACATTACGTTCATTAAATCAGAGTCCTATTACTTCTGCTACTCTGTATTTTTAAAACTACAGCACTGTCGAAGCTTTTTCATCTCTAGAGGTTTTAACCACAACATCTTGCTTGTAATAACCCCCAATTTTTTACTATTTTAACCTTATCATCATTCAAATCATGATTTAATGACACTAGCGTAAAATATCCAGCTGCTGGGTTCAAAGACTCCTCTGTGATTCATCAATGAACCGTTCAGGCTCCTCTATTATGATCAATCGTTTGTGTAACTACTCCGAGATGAAAATGTACCGGGAAAAAAAGTCATTAGAACGTCTGCCCGTGGTGCCTGAGAATGTACATCATGGTTGCTTCTGCTGGATTGTGAGTGGAGATTTGAACACAGTTTCAAAAAGAAACGCCCACGTGATCCCGAGAGAGGTTAGCGACACAGAATCCAATACCAGGTACTCCGCAGACCTGCTCCTAGCCCCCCACCCCCAACATACCTGAGTGGCCAAACGGACGCGTTTTAGTCTGCCTTGGGTATGAGGGTTATACCATCTAGCTGGACCACTCCGAGTCCGCCTGCCAAATTTGATTCTACTAACTCAAAAACTGAGAGAGGAATTCACTAAACACAGCGTGAATTAATGAAGATTATACATACAAAAGTGTTCGAATACTTTCAAAACATCTTAAATGTAAGCATACGTTGATTGTAGTTTCAAGAAATAAGTTAAGTTAAACGTAACGATGGAAAATTCTTATACTGTTTGTAATTAAGCACAAAGCTACACAATGGGCTATCTGCACTAGCCGTCCCTGAATTAGCAGTTTAAGACTAGAAGGAAGGCAGCTAGTCATCACCACCCACCGCCAACTCTTGGGCTACTCTTTTACCAACGAATAGTGGGATTGACTGTCACATTTTAACTACCCCACGGCTGAAAGGGCGAGCATGTTTGGTGGGACGGGGATTCGAACCCGCGACCCAGAGATTGCGAGTCGAGCTCCCTAACCACCTGGCCATGCCGGACCAAATTCTTTCAAGCGTTTGATATGCGTTGTTAAAGAACCTATCCTCTTATAAGATAAATCCTAAGATATGAATTATTTATATTTGTTCGCATCAGTCACTGCTATAAATCAGTAATAAGTTGCTTCTTGTCTGCATGCTAGCTGTCTCCGCTTTAAAATGACTTTTTTTTTTCCTTTCTATCGTTTCTCCTAGTTGCCTGTGGAGATTTTCACGGAAAACGAAACTGTCTGATATCCACTTTCAAAGTTGGTAATTATTTTGTAATTTGCGTGTCTTGTGCAAGTGTTAAATACGGATTTGAAGGTTACATTTAAGTATTTGACTTTTCCCCCGTTATGTTTCCATTGTGAAATTTTTATAATTAGCTTCATTTTTATTTGACGTATAGTAGAAAATATACGTATGTATCTAACTTTACCAGCAATGAGTTTATTTGAAAGGTTGGCGAATTTCCATGGTTCGCTACCGCAAATAAATAAATATAGTATAAATTGCGCTTCGCAATTTGGAGTTGTGTATGCGTTATAAGAATGGCAGTCAAATATTCGATCTTACAAGGGTAGCCCAGGAGTTGTTGGTGAGGTCAAATTTGAGTGTTAAGGTAAAACTTTTATTTATGTGACCCGGCATGGCCAGGTGGTTAGGACGCTCGAGTTGCAATCTGAGGATCGCGGGTTCGAATCCCCGTCCCACCAAACATGCTCGCTCTTTCAGCCGTGGGGGCGCTATAATGTGACGGTCAATCCCACAATTCGTTGGTAAAAGAGTAGCTCAAATGTTGGCGGTGGGTGGTGATGACTAGCTGCCTTCCCTCTAGTCTTAAGCTGCTAACTTAGGGACGGCTAGCGCAGATAGCCCTCGTTTAGCTTTGAGCGAAATTCAAAAACAAACAAACAAACTTTTCTTTATATATATGTGCGTGTGTGTGTGTTTGTGAACACGACAACGGTGTCACCATAGGTCAGTTCGACTATAATGGTAATTGGCGTTAACTATCTGACTTCTTTTTAGTCTATCATTTCCAAAGTTTTGCAGTAAATTCAAGAAACCAATGTTAGAAAGCTAAAGTTGAGAGGTACCCGAGGATTGCTTGGTTTAGTTGTTGTTAAACACAACAATGGGCTATCCATGCTACTCACCACAGGTATCGAAACTCGATTATTAGCGCTTTAAGCCATAAGACTTACCTCTGAGCTATTGGGAGGCGGTACTTAAAGTGAGAACTCATTGCCCGTTTCGTTTCGAAAACCAAGAGTTGTATGCGTTATGTTTCTTGATTGCGAGCCTTTCTTACACACTTCTTGATAACTTTAAGTAAATTCAACACGTTGTGATTTAACGCTACGTCCACCCGATTCTTGTTTGCTTGAGAAGTTCTGAGAAATTGTAGTTTTTGGCTTGTTAGGTTGTCAATTCGCCAACCAGGAATACAATTAGCGTCAATAATGAAATATACTTTCAGACTCAATATTCTTTATCCTGGAGCTGCGTTAGACTTGCTGTTTCACAGAAACTTGACTTTCCAGTTTTAGGTGTTACACGTAACTTGACTTTCCTCTTATAGGTGTTGCGTGTTTTCTTGGTAATAACTTCAAGTAACGTGACAAGTCCCGTCGAGATTAATAACAGGAGGAACAACAATAAAATCTAACAAACAACTTAAGAAAATGTAGAGAAAAACTGGTTAGTTGTTTCAGGCTACTTAAAAGTTTCCTGAGGAGAGGCAATCCTTCACTTTCTTTTGTCATGACTATATAAAAACATGACACACTCAAAATAACTTGGTTATATCATGACTATATGAAATCATGACACACTCTAAATAACTTGGTTATATCATGACTATATGAAATCATGACACACTCTGCTTACTATTTCAACATCAGAAGTGCCTTCAAACTATGTAGTGATTAACAAATGACATTTCTACAAAAAGAAAATCATGTATTGAATGTAATATTTATTTAGATATCACTTTAAACATAAAATTGTGTACAGTCTTAGACTATTATGTGAGCTATTTCTGTCATTTACAGCCCAGGATGAAGTCGTATATTGCACAGATGGCACAAGCAATGCCTTCTGTTTGAAGTTAAACACAGAGCTACACAATGGGCTGTCTGTGTTCTGCCCACCACAGGTATCGAAACCCGGTTTATAGCGTTGTAAGTCCGCGGACATGCCGCTGTGCCACTGGGGGGCCAACGCCTTCTGTATGTGTACAGACAAACATTTTTTACTAATTTTACAAATTTACATGTAACAAGAGATAGGAAGGTAGCAAGAAAAAAATTGAATAAGTAGCCTTGTAATTCGTAATATTTTTGTTTTCTTACTAGTTTTAAGTTAATCGCTTATTATCAATATATTTTTGTATCTATAGACGTATAAAAAATGTTCTTTGTTTTTAATTTACAGTCTTGTTCTTCCTGAAAAATGAAAATCGCCAAGGCGATATTTTGTTTAAGTTGCTTAGCAGTCGTGTTCCTTGTAAGTAGCGCACAAAGTCGTTATGGCAACAGGGGTGGTATAGGATACGGAGGAGTCGGAGACAGTCCTTACAATGGTTATGAAGAAGGTAGCCATGGTAACACCGGATATAATAAACCAAGATGTGGATACTATTGTCAACTGAAATTTTGCAATTATTACGAATGCTTTTACGCGTGTCGACTCAGTAATAACTGCAGAACCGTTACAAATGTTGGTATCTATGGGCGAAGAGGTGAGACCACTGAAACCTTTGGTACTGGAACTATTTTATTCTAGATATTGGAAATTTAGGTATTGACAGTGTGATGAATATTCTTTTAGTCTGCCAAAATATTAAATACACGTTAAGAAGATGAAAATGAATTAATCCTCCAGATTGTTATTATTATTATTCCTTGTAAAACGTGTAAATATATAATATTATCTAAATGTAATATATGTTGGTTTTTCATCGGCAAACAACTCATTCTGGTAGTCATGAATTATTTTCCCGTACTTAACCAATAATTTTGAAAATCGTATTAATGGATTTTAAGATAGAGAACGGATGGCTAACGTTATACAACCATAACATTCTATTTCTGTTTACTGTGGATCATCAACTTTGAAATTCGCTGTGAAAATAATATCAGACGTGTTTTTTTGTAATGTTTACTTGGCATGGTAATGAGAAAATCACATTATTAGTTTTAAAAGATCTATTAGGCCTAATTACCAATGTTTCTATATAGCGTCAGGGTAGCTGTTCTTATAAAATCTGTACCAAAACAAACCACAAACTGTGGTTATCGCGGATTAACAGATAATTAGTCACTTTTCATTGTCATTAGATTATGTTTCATTGATAGAATATCGATCATGGTTTAATAAACAGTAGTGATTAAGTTTTATTACATTATTTTTTCTTTAAAAACTCATTTCAAATGCGTTTTGTTTTATTATTTCTTGATTTTACATTATAAGAAAGAATCATGAGTTTTTGATTCAATTATATTTGAGGAATGACCATTCAAAGAAAGACGCTTTGCTTACTTAGGAACTAACAACGTCATAGAAGTGACCAAGCCAGTGAGCGAGAAAGTCGATAGTTTCAACTATATACCACCAGGTGATGAAACAACATCCAGTGAAGGAGGTAAGTTTATTATGTCAAAATTTTATCATTATAAACTAATATTTTAATTAACGAATGCAAATATCAAAATGGTATAGTTGCATGTTAGCTCCCGATTTCTGCACAACACTGTAGTGGCTTTAGGCTTAGGTGAACTAAGCAACTACCACCAGTGCAGATGGAATCATTCAAGAGATCCATCTGGGTTCACGTTAGCCGATCTTCAGTTCCTCTTTGCTCGTGGGGAATGATTAGTTCTGCCACTACGTTGTGAAAGCATTAATAACTTCGGAATCAGGTACTTGTAGATTGTAGGGCATTGTAAAACAGTACCTGCCTACAAGGGCCCACATGAAATTCTTGCCTAGGGACCAAAACCTTCTAGACTCTCTAGAACAACTATTGGCACCACAGTTACCTTGTGATACGTTGTATTGGACGTACTTTTTGAGTTATATATCTTACACTACACATAAACTATAGGTAGTCAATGTATGTGAAATAGTAAGTTTTACATGAAGGTTAGATGTGACAGTCAAAATGATTCCCCGATCTTCAACAAATTTACATGATTCCCCGATCTTCAACAATTTACATGATTCCCCGATCTTCAACAAATTTACATGATTCCCCGATCTTCAACAAATTTACAATGATTCCCCGATCTTCAACAAATTCATATGATTCCCCGATGTTCAACAAATTTCATGATTCCCCGATCTTCAACAAATTTACATGATTCCCCGATGTTCAACAAATTCATATGATTCCCCGATCTTCAACAAATTTACATGATTCCCCGATCTTCAACAAATTCACATGATTCCCCGATCTTCAACAAATTTACATGATTCCCCGATCTTCAACAAATTTACATGATTGCTCGATCTTCAACAAATTCACATGATTCCTCGATGTTCAACAAATTTACATGATTCCCCAATCTTCAACAAATTTACATGATTCCCCGATGTTCAACAAATTTACATGATTCCCCGATCTTCAACAAATTTACATGATTCCCCGATCTTCAACAAATTAATATGCCTTTGACAAAATCCTGCGCTCGCGTTTGCTTATACAAGCCACAAAGATAATGTAAGATTTAACAAATGAATAAATCCTAACATCAAACTCTGTAATGAACAACGTAAAAATTACAAAGTTTTAACGAATCACAATTTATTATTTTAACCCTGAACGACACCTTTTTCGACACATGGGCTGAAGGGTCAGGTTAGATACCCCTAGGGGTCAGGTACTAACCAGAGGAAAGCCAAAGAGTTAGAAGTACCGTTGCTACATGAACTGAAGCCTTAAGCTAAATAACGAGATTTACTGTTATTATTATAACACACATGGGAAGCGTTTTTAGCGGCACCACAGCGCGAACTTTGAACTTTTGATGTTCAGCCCGGCACGCTAGCCACTAAGGCATACAGAAACCCATGCACATAAATACAAATGGAAAAAAAAGTTGAAAAACAGGAAAGACAGAATATGATTTTCATTTCATATGGAGAACAAGAAGAAAAAGTTTAAAATATTGAAAAATGTCTGTTAAAACTAACATCGGCCCGACATGGCCACGTGGTTAGGGGGCGCTCGATCGCAATCTGAGGGTCGCGGGTTCGAACTCCCC